TATAGAAGTTGTTTGACCTTGTCTTCGCAACTTGGTCATATTGGTAGGAAGACTTAGAGGAACGCACCTAATCCGGAGTCCATTGCATGCATGATCATTTCCAAAGTCGGACCATGGACGTGGTACATTCCCAGACGTTTTGCCGGCATTGCAGTTGGCATGGTCAGTAAGTTTCGCCATTCTTAGCACCACAAAACAACTCGTCATAGACAAGTAAAGGCGATCCTTTCACCAAAAGTGTGCTAAACACTCACTCATTGACGATTATAGCTCAGATTTGAAGAATTTCAGCAATACTTAATCATATAGTATTATTTAATCCTACTTATAGCTAAAATTCAATTACAGCCTGAGAGTCAGGTCAACGCGGTGGATAAGGACATCGTTTTAAGGAATAAAGTTCCAATTCCGAGGACATTGTATAAATACTGAGAGATTTTATCACTTTTACAGCGTCCGTGAAATATAGAAGATATAAGGACCAAAATAGTGTGGTCAATACTCTATTCGCAATCTTCGTCCATGGTGGAAGTAGATTGATCTCGTTATCGCAATTTAATGTTGTCAGGGGAGCTAAATACCGAGGCCTCGATAAAGAATTAAATCCTGCTTGGAAGACATATTAATATACATGATAAACGCAAGCTCTGCAGGTTTTACGCTTGGCAGAGGAAGTATGTCTCGTAGACTGCGTCAATATGTATTAGCAAATTCAAACAAGCCCAGAACGAGAACCAGCCGATATTCTGGTAAGATCGAGCATTTTCAGGCACTTTCAGATAAATTGAAAGCTATCACAGCAATTTTGACTTAGGTGATTAGTCGAAGCCCTGATAATTCTCGCATATACAGTGAAAAAAACTCTCAGATTCATTTATAAAAGATTGAAAATTTAAGTGGAGACATACATATTTTTCGCGGCAATACAAACATTTGCCCTGGACCTCAAAGAGAGATATGCTTGGCCAACTTTAGAAGTGATAGAAGCTTCAGTCATCTCGGCTTCGAGCATTTGGCCGCCGTCTAGGATCGCAGGGCGAGTAATTGGTGCAGCTGTCACGGACAGGTGTCTGGCCCTTGATACCATCCGGCAGACCAGTCCAGACCAGTCGACCCAAGCGAAATCAGGATGATCAGGTGGAAATAATCGAGGCAGTGCAGCAGCTGCTTTAAGTACAGATGAAAATGACAAGGTTTGCGATGGTGACTGACCCGGAGAGATGGATAGTGGAACAAGAGGCGCGAAGCGGGAGAAAATTCGAATCTGTATGAAAGTTAAGAGAAAAAAGGGAGAAGCTAATTGTGAACTTAGGAACATTGCAACACGAAAATGGGAATTGAATAAATATAACAAATATTATATATATAGTGAAAAAGTTACTAAGAGAAAAGTAATAGAACACAAAAACATTATTAAATAAGAACTAGTCATCCTGGTCACATAAAGTAACAGTTGAGCTTTTCCCACAACTATGAGCAGGCCTCACTATATCAGAAAATTTCACTTGCCTTGAACCCCAATAGATGAACTACAATTTTGACCTCGCCTAGGTTTCATCAGCATCTCTAAAGGAAATCGAAACAACAAGTTAACAATCCGCTAAATATGGTTTTGATTAACATTAGGGGTGCTGAAGAGACCTAGGTGACATCAAGAATAAATCCTATTTTGATTAAGAAAGTCTTTGGGGGATTAGAGTAAATGAAAGTTAGTGGCATAGAGAGGTTTACTTATAGCATTGTCGGAAAAACTCCATTATCAATCTTTAAATAACAATGAGACCTGGAATAACTAATTACTTATCCAGGAATTAGTGATAGTTTCAAAAACTAATTTCACTGTAAAATATTCCGTTTATTTAGAAGAGAACTTATCACCAATGCAAAGCAAACCATGTGCCTTAAAAGCTAAGCTTATACGAAAATATGCCAAAAAGACCGTAAGTGTTCTCACGAGACAAAAAAAGAAATAGGCTTTAAGTGAAGGTGTGGAAATTAGCCTTATGCCAACAACATAGTGTTGGCAATATGTACCAACTTCGTATGGTCTACATGAAATGATACCGATTCTGACCAAAACGAATTCAATAAAAAGCGTGACTTTGCCTTGAACTTTAGCGTAATACACAGTCCAAAAGGCCATTCTCAATTACGGCAATTTGGAATGTATCAAGCTGCAGATCCAAGGCAAAATCAAGACTTTAATTGATCGACGTAAGAATCGTTATATATTCCCATACTACCATAAGAAACTAGTGCCTAATGGCAAAAATCAAGTCCCTGAGCTAAGACCAACAATGAAATCAGAAAGATGTGACCAGAGAACCCATTCCTATGGATATAAAAACCTATGAAAGTGATTAAAACTAAAGTGAGCTAAATAAGCTTTATTTAGAGATAAGTATTTTAAAAGAGTAAAAAGTATGAAAGCGTAGGGCATAAGCGAAATGATGACGAACCTATTAAAAGTGAAAATGAAAGCTTGGATAGTTTTCTACTTTCACTCAGACAGCGTGAAAGGAACGTTAGGTTCACAATGGAAATGGAAGAGAATAAGTCATTACCCTTACTGGATGTTTTTATAATTAAAGAAGAGGGTAAGTTAGGAAGAGAAGTTTATAGGAAGCCAACATATGTTGGCTCT